CACACACACACTCTCACACACACATACACTCTCTCACACACACACACTCACACACACACACACACACACACAAACACACACTCTCTCTCTCACACACACACACACACACACACTCTGTCTCTCTCTCACACACACACAGACAGACACACAGACACACACACACTCACACACACAAACACTCACACACACACACACACACAGACTCACACACTCTCACACACAGACACACACACACACACACACACACACAGACAGACAGACACACACACACACACACAGACAGACACACACACACACACACTCACACACACTCACACACACACACAGACAGACAGACAGACACACACACACACACACATGTTGGATATAAACGCACAAACACATACTCTTGCATGCACACAGATACACAGGGGTGTACATACTGATAAACACTTACATGAACACTTACATTGACACAAACATAGATATACACACATATGAACACACACACATGCATTCACAGATATGCATCCACAAATACACAAGTGCACACACACAAATGCACACATGCAGACAAACATGAATACATGCATAGGGATGCACATACATGCATGCATGAACAGATACACATGCATACAAAAATGCACATGTCCAGCCTCAAAGAAAAACCTTCCAGTGACTTTTTACACCATGTTTCTGATGTTCCAAAGTAAATGTCCATATTCAATAAAACGGGGCGACAATCAGGGCACCTCAGAAAATAACAACAATGTTCAATTTCCACTATCAACTTCAAGTATTCATATATACCAAGGTCACTTGGTACTGACTACTTCATACTTCTGTGGACATTGGAGAGATTTTGACAAGATACTGCCTATGTGAAGCAACCCTCACTTACTCCAGGGTGCTCAGTGGTCAGATGGTGAGAACCAGTACCATCCTTCCCTCCAACCGTACATCATAAACCCAGCTCCAAACTTGGCCACAGGTCTCTGTCATGGCCTGAGGAAAACCAATCCTTTTGCCTGACATGGATTGAGCTTCAGATTGAGTTCTTCAGTACTTATACCAGTTGAATTTTTCAGGTTAACTTTATAACTTTGCAGTACAATCTAATTTTATATGTAAAATCTAATATATTAAAAAAAATAACGTTTCTTGGTAAGGAAGATAGTTGTTATTAAACCTTGGTGGAAGGAGTATGACAGGATCGGTCCTGCAGTTGTAGTGAGACGAGGGTTCTGGAAAAGTACATGAATGTCTGCAGATTACTGTCAGAACAGAAGCCAAACTTTGCAGTTGACATTTCAAGTGTAAACCTGCAGCTAAGCATCTGTGAATCAAATGGGACGTGTGTTACCCTTTGTAATTCGCAGTGTCTGCCTATTAATGCATGAAGAAGGCTTTGAATGAAGATGATATGTTATTAGTAACTCTGCTTTATCAAAGAAAAGAAACCCTGCAGTCAAAAATAATTTTACAAAAGTCGTAAAGGCCTTAATGTGATTTGTCTTTTTTTAGGGGGTGATGCTGTGGTTACTGAGAATGACTGATTCACAGATCAAAGAGAGTCTCATCACTTCACTACTTTAGTGAATGACTACAACTACTAAAGTAGATTATTAAAAGTGGTGTTATAATGTGTATCTTTTCTTAAGCCAGGTGTGCTGCTTTGAAAAGAGTTACCCTTTTTATCTATTGAAGCCTTTTGTACACAAAAAGTATAATGATGTACAGTAAAAAGATTTTGCAGAAGTATACCCAGAGAATTGAATCAGAATGATGTATTTCTGTGATCCTCACCTTCACCTTCACCGCTGAATCCAGAAATTCAGTGTAACTGATGTGAAAACTCAACTTATGTTTCTTTCCTCTCATCTGAAGGAGGACCTCATTAACCTGATTTGTTTTGCTCTTTTGCAGAAAGTACATGATCTGGAGGTTACCTTTGTCTGTTATGCTCCCCAGATTTTATATGCTACGCACATGAGTCAGGAGGTACAGGAGAAACGACTATCACAGAGGTCTGTAATACTTTGGGCAATTGAGGCCATTTTAATGTGTCACAATAATATTTAACAGGTGGGAGCAGACTGACTGGCATTTCACCTCTCTCCTGCTTTGTTTTCCTATTGAGTTAAATGGAAAAGGAGTTCAGGAGACATGTAAAAAAGCTGTAACTAAGTTGTTGCCGTCCATTTAAAAGCAGTCATTAATGCCACCATATTAGTGTTTGTTTATGTTGTGCAGCAAGACTAACAGTATAGGCCTAAGCTAAACTCCCGAGAAATGGAAAATTTAGTTTTGGGTTGGATGTCAGATCTTTAAAAACTTCAAAACCAAATTGCAGTGTGCATGAATTGCACTTTATAACAGTGAGGGGACAACTCACCTCCTTGTAAGAATTACACTCGGAAAATGAAATTGAATTGAAAATGGAGCTACGGATAGATTTAACCAAATTCAACCACTTTGGAGCCATCAAATTCTGGTTTTAACACAAACATGATGGGTGGCACAACCCTCCACCAGGCGCTGGCTCTTCATTTTAATCCTTTAATAAAGTTGAATGGCCCAGATTTATCTCTTTTCCAGCGTTAACATCTCCAGTCCCCTCTGTGATCCCCTTCTGCCTGTTTCTGACTCTCAACACCACCACCATTCTTCCACCATGACTCTCAAAGAACAGCCCAAGCCTCACCCAACAGAGAGCCAATCAGTCCGGCTTCTGGGTGGGAAACCTATTTAAAGAAATTCCGAGCATGACTGCTCCAGGATCTCTCTACATTCCTTGGAAATCCCAACAAACCCAGTAAAAATAAAGGCACTATCTCTGAAGAGGGTTGTCAATCTGAGGGGGAGGTGATGGCCTAGTGGTATTAGTGCTGGACTGTTCATCCAGAGACCCAGATAATGTGCTGTGGACCCGGGTTCAAATCCTGCCATGGCAGATGGTGAAATTAGAATTCAATAAATATCTGGGATTAAGAATCTAATAATGACCGTGAATCCATTGTCAGTTGCTGGAAAAACCCATCTGGTTCATTAATATCCTTTGGGGAAGGAAACTGCCATCCTTACCTGGTCTGGCAGACATGTGACTCCAGACCCACACCAATGTGGTTGACTTTTAACTGCCCTCTGGGCAATAAATGCTGCCCAGCCAGTGACACCCTCATCCTGTAAATGGTGGACCATTGGTGGTGTAAGAAAGCCCAAGCCCACAGCCTTTTCAAACAACACAGGCTAAACACTGTGAAGATTATAACTCCAGTATGATGACAAGCCATGTTTGTAGAGTGGAAAGCTTCAAGCACATAATGAGCCTTGGCAGTGTGAGCCCATTGGCCAGTTCTTTCAAAGTGTTCAGAATTTGTAGTACTGGGTGCCAGGGGCTAAAACCAACACGGCTACACACCAAGAGCTGGAGAGTAGGATGGGACTGTCTCTTTCTCAGACAGCATAGACACAATGGTCTAAATGGTCTCCTTCTCTGCCATAAATCTTTCCGTGGCTCCATTTTCAATTCAGTTTCATTTTCCGAGTGTAATTCTTACAAGGAGGTGAGCTGTCGTCTCACTGTTATAAAGTGCAATTCACACACACTGCAGTGTTTCTCAGGAGGCTGTGAATTGCCCCATCCAACAACTAGGATCAAACCAGTCAAAGGTCATTACTAGACCATAATTTATCCAGAAACCAAGTGGTGCGTTTGTCTAGTTTAGATGGTGTGATTTAGGTTGTGAGCACCTTCCCTTGAAAGTGATGTGTTTTAGGATATAAACTGCATTTATTGGAGCATCACCAGTGTATATACAGTGCAGTGGTGGAGGGTATTCTTTCTACAACTTGCCAGAGCGTATCCTAATGAGAATCAATCCTCATGTTTAAATTAAAAACACAAATGAGGAGTAAGGTGTTGGGATTGTGGTGATCTGGTTAAGGGTGCAGTTTTTTTTTACACATCATTTCATTGGAAGCAATTCAGAGAAGGTTCACTAAGATGATCCCTAGTATGGAGGCGTTGTATGGTGAGCAAAGATTTAACAGGTTCGGACTCTACTCACTGGAGTTTAGAAGAATGGGAGATGATCATTGAAACATATGAGATTCTAAAGGGGTTTGACAGCGTTAATGCAGAGAATGGGAGAGTATAGGACCAGACAGTATACTCTCAGAACAGAGGGGCACCAATTTAAGACCAAGATAAGGAGGAATTTCTTCCCTCAGAGGATAGTGTGTCTTTGAAATTCCTTGCCACAGAGAGCTGTGGGAGTAGGGTCCTAGTGCATATTTAAGGCTGAGATAGATGGATTCTTTATCAGTCAGGGTATCGGGATTATGGGGAAACAGCAGAAAAGTGGATGTGAGGAATGTCAAATCAGCCATGATATTTTTGAATGATGATGGAGCAAGCATGAGGGTCCAAATGGCCTCCTCATGTTCCTATGTTTTAATGGTCTTATTAACCAAAATCTCCAGGTGGATCAAGTTGGTCACTGGTCTTAACCTCGCATCTGACCCTGTATCCCCCACCATATATTAAACTAGATTGTCTTTTGGATCTCAATCCTCTTACAAGCAAGTACAGTTTCTCCCAACCTACTGTGTTCTGGCCCGTCATGATGTTGAAAATTTCTGTCAAATCTCCCCTCAACCTGCTCAAAGGAAAATTGTCCCAACTTTTCTCCAATCCATCCTTATAACTGAAGTTACTCATCCCTGGACACATTCTCATAAACTTCTTCTGTGCTCCATTGCATACACATCCTTCTTAAAATATTGCCCCCAGAACAATATGCAATACTCTAGCTGAGGTCTAAATAATATGCTATATAATTTCGGTGTAATCTCTCTGCTTTTGTACTTTATGCCCCTATTAATGAATACTGAATATTTTATTAACTCCATGTGCAGTTGTCTTACCACATTAAATGACATACATGTACACACCCAAGTCACTCTGTTTCTGCATACAATTTAGAATAATATCCTTTATTTTATGCAGTCTCTCTATGTTCTCTGAACCAAAACATATCACTTCACACTAAACTGTATTAAACTTCATCTGCGACTTATCCACCCATTCTTCCAATTGAAGTTCTACTAACTTTCTCAAAGTCTGCATGTTTTGTATCATCCTCAAACTTTGAAATTGTCCCCTGGACTGCAAGATCTAGATAATTTAGATATATCACAAAAAGCAAAAGTCCCAATACTGACCGGTAGAGCACTGAAAAACTTCCTCCAGCCTCCCCAAAAAAACTATTAACCATTACTTTCTGTTTCCTATCCTTCAGCCAGTTTTGTGTCCACATTGCTGCTGTCCCTTTTATTCCATGAGTTACAATTCTATTGTCTAGAATGTTTAGTTGGAGGAAATTTCTGCTCATCCAGTATTTGATGTTGGACAACCAGCCTGGAAGGTTAGAGATAGTGGTGGAGTGAGGCAGTGGAGAGGTAAAGCATGGTGACTTCAGCATAGGATGTGGAAACTTAGACTGTGCTTTTGGATAATGTCTCAAAGGGCCACATGTAGATGAGAATTAGAAGGGGGCCACAGGTAATCCTTGGGAGGCACCAGAGATAATGCTACAAGTGATCTCTTGTTGCAACAAAATAGTTAAGAGTGGAACCGGGCAGGTGAAGTTCCATCTGAGTCGAAGATGGTTTGGTGGAGGACAGTGTGCTTAAATACATCAAAGGCTACAGGCAGCTTGAGAAGGATGAGGAAGCCACAAGACCATAATATATAGGAGCAGAAGTAGTCCATTCAGGCCATCAAGTCTGACCTACTATCCAATGACATTGTGGTTGATCTCAAAGGAGCCTTGGATGGGCACTGCTCATACCCCAAAGACTCTATAGAACACAAGTCAGGAGTGTGATAGAATTTACCTGGCTGGATGCAACTCCAACAATGCTCAAGAAGCTCATTGTCATCCAGGATTGGTATTCCATCCTCTATCTTAAACGTTCACTCCCTTCTAGGCACCATGACTATAATGTGTACCATCTACAGGATGCACTGCAGTACCCAGCAGGCTCCTTTGACAACATCTTCCAAACCCATGACTTCTATCATATAGGAAGACTAAGGTAGCAGGCACAGAGGAATAAAGACATTTTCAAATTCTCTTCCACCACCCTAAAGGGTTACTCGACCCGAAACCTAAAATCTGATTTCTCTCTACAATTGCTGTCAGACCTGCTGAGCTTTTCCGGCAATTTCTATTATTATTTCTAAATAACTGTGTCGTTACTTACAGGGGCATTTGCATGGTGAGATGAAAAGTTACAAATATCTAAATATGTAGATGTATTCTGTTATACTACAGTATAATATTTATTTTAATATCTGATTTCTGAACTGAATTAAACAGATGAAGGAATCCCTAAATTAATATTGCACAAACACTAAGCCATGTATTTATACAACAGAATATTTCATGGCTCCATTAAAACAGAAGTATAAGAATACAAATTAACTTTGTACCCAGTTGAAGCCCTGTGACCATGTGGAACTATATTTTCATGAACCTCATTAACATTTGTATATTTTAGCTGTCAGGCAACAACAGGAAGCAAAATGGGATAAGGAAGAAAGACTGGGGGCCAGAGAAAATTTCTGTCTAATTCCTTTTCTCACTCCCTCCTCTTCCCCATTGCCCGTGAATGCAGGCCAGACACTAATCTTTGCAGTTTCCCTCCATCCCAGATTTCCTTAAACCCGGAAGTCGATGATCGAGCAGACCTGCTGGAACCGATGTCACACAACCTCACTCAGGAATCTTAGACCTGCAAGACTTCACTGTCCCAACATTTTATTTGGCTGTTGTAAATTGTTGGAAATGTCTTACACTTCTTTTCATATATGTGTGGTCCCCAAGGCTGGAGGCAATCCTCTAATCTGGCAGCTGAAGGATGTTAAATTTTAGCTGTTGTTTGACGGATGGTGTAAACATCCGCCTGTGGCTATTTCCTCTCTGATACTGCTCCAAGACATTTCCTATCATTTTAAAAA